AAATGTGGTTCACCTGTCCATTGTGCAGAACATTTTTAAGACACGGGAAAAACACAGTCCCTGAGAAACCTCCAATCCCAGAACCTTGATATAAATATCAATAATATTTTTGGCATATATATTTATATTTTGTCATATGAAGTTTGTATGAATCTGGTACGTTAACTTTAGATGTGTAAATATGGAAGGCAAGATTTTGGCCCTTGTGATCTGCATGCTGTGGTGTTATGCCCGTGATTGTGTTACTTGACACAACAAAAAGGAAGTACATTTGCCGATGAAGTTAGAAGTACAAAAGGAAGTCAGAGAGATGTGACTGTGGGGAAGAGGCAGGAGAGGTTCAGATCATGAGAGGGACTCAACCTGCCATTCCTGGCTTTGAAGATGTAGCATGGGGACTGCGAGCCAGAAGGAGTTCAGAATATGCCATCCCAAATGTATGCTGCTCTGGCATATTGATTATTTTGCATTTAAGGCTCTTGAAAAACAGCAAATACAAGGAAAACACTTTGACCTTCCTTATTTTTCTTAAAAGCAGGAGATAAAAATACCTATATGAAAGATGTCCTTCCTATATCGTAAGAAATATACATTCTAATTATGGCTAGGAAGTTGAGATCAAGAGAATTCTATACAAACAGACCTTGTTAAAATAATTATCTTCCTTTAACCTGCCCACAGAGTTGAGTCACTTTTACACATTGCCTCTTTTTGTTCTCCCCAACAAAAGCAAATTGGTTTCATAATTTCTTTGGGTCTTAATGCCTTATGAAGAAAGCTCATGTCATGAAAAGCTTGTGATAAATAAATGCGTATGCTTTTTTTCAGTTGATTTGTATTATGTCAATTTAATTTTCAGGCCCAGCGAAATGGAACCCTAAGAGGTTTAATAAAGTTAATGGTTTGTCTTCCCTGAAAGTCAAGGAACATGGGTGCCTTCTAAAGGCTGGGAAGCTCTCTGCTGATAGCCAGCAAGTAAGTAACAACCACAAGGAACTGAATTCTGCCAACAACCTGAATGATGAGCAAGGAAATGGATTTTCCTTTAGAACCTCCAAAGGAATTAAGCCTGCTCTACCTAGATTTTAGTCCTATGAGATCCATGTCAGATTCCTCACATACAGAACCGTAAGATAATACATGTATATTGTTTTGAGCCACTGTGTTAGAAGAGCAATAAAAACTAATATAGCAAGAAAAATTATATCTATTTCATTTAAATCAAAGTTTATCCAATGCTGAATTCTCATCTGTTGGGCTGGCAGGGTATTTAGTCTCAGACACTATTAAGGCCCTTTCCTCTACCAGTGACATGCAAATTCCCAAGGATCGTACCATGTGCTGTGTTAATCTACTAAAAATAAAAGGCCAAGGTGAAAGGCAACAAACATTTGAGACCCCAAACAATAGCTATTCAGGGAGCACTGATTTAGGCAGAAACTTAAATAGGGCACCTATTAGGAGGGCATTTATTAGAAAGATGTGAATAGAAAGAATTTCTATAGATGCAAACAAATTAATATAGCGATGCTAATTCTAAAGGTATAATTTTTCCTTCCTTCCTTCCTCACCCAAAGACATTTTTAAAATTGTTATTAGAGAGAGAGGAAGGGAGAGAAACATTAATGTGAGAGAGAGACATTGATTGGTTGCCTCCCATATGTACCCAGACCGGGTATTGTATGTGGCTAGACCAGGGATTGAAACTGCAACCTAGGTATGTGCCCTGACTAGGAATCAAACCCACAAACTTCTGGTTGTAGGATGATGCTCTGACCAACTGAGCCACACTGGCCAGGCTAAAGGTCTTTAATTTTCAGTCCTTCACTCATAATGTCTGCTTTCTTGTTGTCTTTGTAAACAGTTGTTTGGGACACAGTGGTAGTTTAGGCCCAGTCTAGGCATTATTTGACCCAGTTTTTGTTTTTTTTTTTTAATCGGTGGAAATGGGGCTCTTGCAGAGCTGAAGGAAAAGACTTTCCTGAGACCCACACAGGAGGATGTGGCTTTGTGGTATGGTTTATTGATAATGTACAATTAAGGGAGATCTCCTTCTGACTTCCATAGAAAGTGCAATTTTGTCTTTTTTAGGGGTAGGGTGAAGGCCACTGCTGAGTTTAATATGCTCCATATTAAAGTATAGTATAGTGCAGCATGCAGCTAGTTTGGTGTGTGTTTCCAGCAGTAGCCCATTGCTATGTTGGAGGCCATGTAGACAACAGGTGAATGCACCATGTGAGTGTGGGCCCCAAGCAAGAGAGAGAGCTTATTTGTTCCCATGGGGTTATAACCAGGAGCTTGGGCTTGGGAAGAACCATGTGCTTTCTCAAAATGACCTATAAACTTCCCAAGCTGGGCTTTGGATAGGCCCACCTCCTAGTTAGGATGACAGGCCTCTTTGGTCCAGCACCTCCATCTGCACCTTCCAATAGTCTAGTACTGAAGGTGGGGAAGGAGAATTAATCCCCTTGGCAGAGCAATGCTGTAATCCCCTGGGGTGAGAAGTTGTAACTTTCTAGTTAGCAAGCACACTGGCTTATGCTTCCCAATTTATTAAACTCAATGTCTAGTTCCTTTTGCTCCCTTTTTCTAGCTAAATACCAACAGTAGCACTTTTAATATTCCTAAAGTTTAAGGAGTAAGGTATGCAAGGCAGTTCCTCTGGAATGGCAGCTCCAACTCCATTTAAAATTGGCTCTGTTTACATTAATTTTTCACAGCCAAAACATCAGGGAAGCTTTTCAGACTTTCTGTTATCATTTGCTACCAGTGAGATGTCATTGTCTCTGCCATCTGGGTCCTGTGTATTCTAGTGGTAGCAGCAGTATTTTCACAACACCTGGAAACCTGGGGTCTAGGGCACCACAGGAGTGGGGTTTTGGTTTTCCTTTGTCTCCCTTCCAGTTAGGAGAAATCTTCCCTCTAGCAATTTTTGCATTCACCTCAGTGGCACTTACCCATTTCCCCACTACCCTCATCCCCAGCGTGCGCGCGCGCACACACACACACACACACACACACACACACAGGCTTAATAGTCTAATCAGTTTTTGCCAATCACACTCTCCTGAGACAAAGGGTCAGAATGATTTGGTTACCTACTAGGAGTTGGAGATAAACAAAACATAGATCAACATCTCAGTAGATCGTTTTGAAACATCCCTGCACTGATGAGTTTGTTTTATCCCTTCAAGGATATTTTGCTCCCCTTCTTGGTCTCTTGGCATTTCCCAGAAGTTAGATCACTGATGGTCCTCATTCTCATATCAGTCTGTGTCAGGCTGGTAACCTCACATAAAGGAGCAGCTGGATGGGTGGGGAATACATTTCCTCAGGCTTTCAAGGATAGAGTTCATAAACTTAGATATTCAGTGAATGAATTTCTTGCTTTCCACAAGAAATATGCTTTTTTTTTTTTTCCTTCTTAACCTTAGCGGTACCCCTCCTGTATGGGAGTTTCCTTTGATCCTAATCGACCTCTGGGGAAATGGGTTATACAGAAACAAGCATAGAGCAGGAGACCACGTACGTGCACATTGTAAAGTCCATTGTAAAGAGATGATTGGGCTTGACCCAGGGAAGAAGTAGAAGTGACTAATGGTTGGATTTTGAATAAACTTTCAAGGGTAGAGCCAGTGATCTGACATGAGGTGTTAAAGTCAAATATAAGAGGGCTTAGTTGGGAGTCCAGAAGGACCATAAATGAAGAGAACATTTCACATCTTGAAACTAGAAATAACAGTTTAAACGTTGTTACGTGAGAATTAAAGTCTGGTGGTTAAAGAGTTGGTTCTTCAACCTAAATCTGCAGCCAATATTTCTTTATTTTCTGATTCATTTTCTCTATAGTCTCTGGGTTTTGATCATCTCCCAATTCCAGCTGGCATAAGTGCCAGTTCCTTCTCCCATCCTACATCCATCACCTGTGGACGTTTCAGCCTTTTTCTAGCCCTCCCTTACAGTCGTCCAAAAGAAATGATGGCTGCTGTTTGCAGGGGAAAAGAATGCATAATAGTTGAAAACAGTAGCCCTGTATTCTATTCATAAGCTTGACTTTAAGATAACTGAAAACCTAATAGTGAAACGAACTATTTTAAAAAGTACAGTGCTGCTCTATTACTGTTAGTGGTAAATCTATTGGTATCAATAACAAAGTATTAAGAAATGAAAAGAAGCAATTTTGGGAGAGTAGAATTTCTGCTTCCATTCTAAGGTGGATTTCATTTTGGCTTTACAAAAACTGTGGGCTATACTGCTATCTAGGAACTGTAAAAGCTTGGGCAAGATAGTTTTCTTTTTATGGTTTTTTCCCCTCTCATCCATAAAACCTCAGCCCTCCTTTTGCCTCCTGATCTTAGAGGTCTCGGAAAATTTAAAACCTCATTTAACCAATATTTGGTGTCTACTGTGTAACAGTACGCTTGATGCTGGGAGAAATACCTAGAAGTACAAGATACAGGACACAGGTCTCTGCCCTTTTGGAGCAAGAAATTCGCTTGTAACAAGCGTGAATCCAATTTTCAGTCGGTACGATCTCTCCTATGTTGGTTTTTAGATATCAACCGTTGCACACCAGTTGCTGCAACTGCTGTGCTCACTCACCCAGCTACTTCTTAAAGTGCTACGCTAAGGCGGAAAATGCAGAATTCCATTTTATTTTCACTTTGAAAGAAGCGAAATTAAGGAAGGTTCATTGCTACCTGCGCCGTTTTCAGAGGGTAACCTTTACAAGTCCCAGCGACGTTAACCTGATCTCATCCCCTTCCCAAGCCAACTCACACATCCCAGTCTGATTCTAGGTAAAAAGTCCCATTGCCTATTGACCAATGGGTTCACTTCCACTTCGCTGTGGAGCGGGGACCACGAGCAAAAGCTTCGGAGACCCGCCCCAGTACGTGGCGTGCGTGCGGAGCCTTGAGGCGCGAAACGGTTTCTCCAGCATGTGGCGCCCTCTGGCGCCAGCGGGACGTCAGTTTGACAGCCGCATCTGAGCCCCTGCCATGAAGCCGCAGAAAGAGGTGCGAACAACTAGGAACCCGGTCGAACGGCTGCCGGCCTCCAGGTCGCAGACGCCTAAAGAGCAGGAGCGGCGGGAGAGGGGCGCAGCCTTGCCGATGGCTGCCCTGGGCGGAGAGGCTGACAGCGCCAGTGCAGAGGAGATGTGGAAACTACCGCTGGAGCCGACTGAGCAGGGCCGGAGGGCAGCTGCTGCACGTGACCGACCGGCCGGGGGCGGGGCCTCAGCGCCCCACTCTGGAGAGGCGGCTGCTGAGGCTCGGGCCCGGTGGAACGCTGGCTCGGGAATCCTTGCTCTTAAGTTGGCAGGCCGATTTAATAAGGAGCCATTCGTATAGGTTCGTTATTATTTAGCCTTACTTCTCGCAATACTCTGAACGTACTTACATGACAGTCGTTTCACACACACACACACACACACACACACACAAAAGAGAAAGAGAGAATTATAGGGCAGAGACAGTCAAAGTGGCTATCAGAATAGTTAGGAGTGTATTCAGAATTCTGAATTCACTCGGGAATATTTATTGAGCACCTAGTGTGTGCCAGGCACTGTGCTAGGTCCTGGGAATGCAGGCATAAATAAATCAGACATGGTCTCTGTCCTCCTTGGGGCACTTACAGTCTACTGAAGAGACGATTTATTAAACCACCAACTAACATGATTGAATGCTCACAGTGTGCCCGATTGTTGAAGTACTTTTCAGGTTTACCACATTGTGCGGTGCACTAAAGGACTGTGAGGATTGTTTTCCTCGCTTGTTTGAATTTTTACTATTCACTCATACTATTCTGTTTACTTCCTGGGTGTTCAAGATCACTTTCCTTGGTTCCTGAAGATCTCCATCTATCACCTATCTCTTTGTTGCCCTTCACAATTTTAACTTAGATAACGGCTGTACTTCCTCATCCCGGAATAACTCTGTGATTTCTCATCAGATCCTACAGTGTACTGAAACGACTTTCACTCAAGTTACCAGTAATCTCAATGAGATGAAATCCAGTGGATCCTTTTCTGTTCATTTTTTACTACACCTCTTGGCAGCATTCTGCAGTTAAATACTTTCTTCTTGAAACACTCTTTCTTTGGCTTCCCTTTGATTTATCTGACTTCTCTGCTCTATTCGTCTTTGCTTGCTTTGCAAGCTCTAAATGTTGGGATTCTTCAGGTCTTGATTCTAGTTTCTTTTCTCTTATAACCCCACACAGTTCCCACAGGTGATCTTACCAGTTTTTATGGGTAAGTTATTACGTCTACCCCAATAACTCTAGCTCAGTGATTTTCAACTTTTTTTAAATCTCATGACACACATAAACTAATTGCTAAAATTCTGCAGCACAACAAAAAATACATTTTTTGCTGATATGACAAAAAATAGGTATAATTTTGATTCATTCACGCTGGGTGGCTATTGTGTTGTCTGTTGTCATTTTTTTTTTAATTTGACAATCGAAGGGATGGCACACGGTTTGAAAATTGCTGCTCTGGCCCATACCTTTCTCCTGAGTACCAGACCTATGTACCCCTTTAACTGGTGTTCACTGAGTGCTTTGCTAATCACTGGTAATACAGTGGAGTCTGTGTTCATATGGAGTGTTCAGTCTGTTATTAGATACAGATAATAAGCCAATAAACAAGAATCCAAATATGTAATACAGTTTTGAAGAAAAAAATGAAGAGTGGTGAAGGAAAGGCATGGGTTGCTGTGGCAGAAAATAGCAGGAGGGTATCAGGAAAAATTTCTGAGGAGATAGCATTTATATTGAAATTTGAAAGATGAGAAGGATCCATCCAGGAGAAAAGCATTCCAAGAAGGGGTATGGGACAGACTTGTTGAAGGTCTGTACCACTTGAATGCTTGGAGTATCCTACTCTGGACATTTTGACTTCTTCCCATGACTGAATTGTGAGACCTTAGAAGGAGGAATCTTGAGTGTAAGGAATTTTTATGTTTTCTAAGTGTAGTATGTATTGAGTTAACCAAAAAGTTAATTTTTTTTTTCTGTAAGACCTCTCTAGTAGCACTTAGTTGTCTTTAACTTAATTTGAAACAATTTTGTTAGATTGTATTGTGACAATTGCCAATCAGCATGTATTTAAAAAACACATCAAAATTGGTGAGTTTTTAATATTGAAGATGGAAGAAAATAAGTGATGTTTTGGCATATTATGCTTTATTATTTCAAGAATGGTAATAATGCACTTGAAACATAAAAGAAATGATTTGTGCAGTATATGGAGAAGGTGTGTGACTGATTGAATATGTCAAAAGGGGTTTGCAAAGTGTTTTGCTAGAGATTTCTTGCTGGACGATGCTCCATGGTCAGATAAACTAGTTGAAGTTGATAGTGATCAAACAGACATTCACTAAGAATAACCAATGTTATACTGCACGAGAGATAGCCAACATACTCAAAATATCCAAACTAATAAAGTTATAGGTGAAAATGGAAATATGTCTTTTATTTTATGAAAAAAACTAAATGGATTTTTTGGCCAACCCAATATAGCAAACACTTGATAGACTTTTGAGGAGAATGAATAATTTGTTTCTAGAAGGGACTGTACATATGAACAAAATGGGTGTTGAATACAATTTATTTAAACAAGTTGTCTAAATGTGTTAGGAGATAACACTTAAAAATGCTGAAAGAAAAGTTTCAAATATAAATCCACGTCTAAATTTTATGCTAGTTTTATTATGTAGTTTTCAGTCTATTTAGAACCACTAAATTGTGTTATATATACTTTAAAAAATTAGTCTCCTATCTTTAGCAAAAGATTATGATTTTTCTGATCTGCTTCCCCCCTTTAATAAACTTTATTTTTTAGAGCAGTTTAGATTTACAGCAAAACTGTAGTGGAAGGTACAGAGATTTCCTGTATACCCATTGCTCCCACTCATGCATAGTTTCCATCATTATCAACATTCCCTACAGTTGATGAATTACGTTGACACATCATTATCACTCAAATTCCATAGTTTACATTAGAGTTAACTCGATGATGTACATATCTTAAGTTTGGATAAATTTCTAGTAGTATATATTCACTATTATAGTATACTATCATACAGAATGTTTTCATACCCTAAAAATCCTCTTTGCTCTGAATATTCATCCCTCCATATTACCTAACCTGATCTGCTTTTTAGAAAACAAAAATAACTTGCTAGAGTTTAGCTTGTTTTCAGCTACATTTAGTTAATATTTTAGGGTTATGATTAATGTCAACTTCTCTGCATTTTGCTTTTTCTAGTGAAATTTTCTACCTAATAAAACCTCTTCTCCTTGTTAGTTTGTTATGCATTTTGTTTGTTTCACTGGTTAGGATACAACTCTAGAATTATGGCGACTATGTAGTGTTATCAATAAAATATAAACTAATTGATGACTCTTTGTATTTTATTTCATTAGGCTGTTAGGGATTGCTGATAGTCTTTTTTCTTAATTTATAAATCATGTTTATACTATTACAGTTGTATCAATTTTTCCCACTTTACCCCCCTCCACCCATCCCACCCTCACCCCCACCCCCATCTCTCACAGTCAATTCCCACTCTGTTGTCCATGTCCATGGGTCATTCATACATGTTCTTTGTCTACTCCCTTCCCCCTTTTTCCAGCATTGTCCTCTTTCCCCATCCCCTCTGGTCGTTTTCAGTCTGCTCCATATTTCCAGGCCTGTGGTTTATTTTGATTGTTAGTTTATTTTGTTGAATAGAGTCCACTTATAGGTGAGATCATATGGTATTTGAATTTCACCACCTGGCTTATTTCACTTAGCTTAATATTCTCCAGTTCTGTCCATGGTGTTGCAAAAGGTAGGAATTCCATCTCTCTCTCTTCCTTCCTTCCTTCCTTCCTTCCTTCCTTCCTTCCTTCCTTCCTTCCTTCCTTCCTTCCTTCCTTCCTTCTTCCTTCCTCCTTTCTCCCTCCCTCTTTCTTTCTTTCTTTCTTTCTTTTTCTTTCTTTCTTTCTTTCTTTCTTTCTTTCTTTCTTTCTTTCTTTCTTTCTTTCTTTCTTCTTTCTTTCTTTCTCTTTTTCTTTCTTTTTCTTTCTTCTTTCTTTCTTTCTTTCATGCAGATTGATTTTTTCAATGTCAAAGTTAATTATAAAATATTAAAAAATTTAAAACCATTATAAAGTCTCAGCAATTAAACCAACATGACATCAGCACAGAAATAATCAAGTAGATCAATGAAATATAATGAGCATTCTAGAGACAAACATATACATCTGTGTAAGAATGTAATATATGAGTAAGTTGATATTTCAAATCAGTGGGTAAAATAAGGCTTATTCAACAAATAAGTGCATGGACCACTATTACTTGAAATAAAACAAATATAGAGCCCTATTTCACACATTATGCAAGAAATGTTCAGGTGAGTTAAAAATCAATATGTAAAATCTAAGGAGTTTTAGGAGAAAATACAAGCTAATATTTTCTTTACCCCAAAGTAAAATCTTCAAACCCAAAAGCTATAAAGTAAAATATTGACAATATGACTATATTAAACATTTAAGACTGTACAGTAATATAGATATAAAAAAAGTTAAAGGACAAGTAATAGAATAGGAAAGTATATACAACACATCTAAAAAAGGGTTAATGTTTGCTTTTTTTTAGGGAAAGAATTCTACAAACATTTAATCAAAAAATGGATAAAGGATACCAAAAAGTCATTTAAAGCCTTTTTAAAATAATAGAAATAGGCAAGAAATAGACAAAACAGGTTTAGTTTAAAAAATAATAAAGAACAATGAAAATAACACATCATTGTCATAATCAGATTAATATGTATTAAGAAATATTGGTAATATCAAGTATTGGCAACTGTGAAAGGAACTGGGTATTCATAGACTTCATTTCTTAATCTTAAAGCAGTCCCTTTAGCATATTTTGCAATGCTGGTTTGGTGGAGGTGTATTCTTTAGCTGTCTTTTGTCTGGGAAACTCCTTATTTCACCTTCCATTTTAATTGAGAGCCTTGTTGGGGAGAGCAGTCTTAGTTGCAGGCCTTTGCTTTTCATGACTCGAAATATTTCTTGCCATTCCCTTCTGGCTTGCAGTGTTTCTGTTGAGAAGTCAGCTGCTAGCTGTATCAGAGCTCCCTTGTATGTTACTACCTCTTTCTCCCTTGCTTGCTTTAGGATTCTCTGTTTGTCTTTGATAGTTGCCTTTTTCATGATGATGTGTCTTGGAGTGGGCCTTATTGGGTTCCTCTTGAGTGAGACCCTCTGTGCTTCCTGGACTTGTGTGACTTTTTCTCTCCTCCAATTAGGGAAGTTTTTCATCATTACTTTTTCAAACAGGATTTCTATCCCTTGCTCCTCTTCTTCTCCTTCTGGTATCCCTATTATACAGATATTACTACATTTCAGGTTGTCCTGCATTTCCCTCAACTCCTCTTCATTCTTTGTGAGTCTTTTTTCATTTTCTTGCTCTTTCTGGGAGCTTTTTTCTACCTTATCCTCCAGCTCACTGATTTGATCCTCAGCTTCATCTGCCTGCTTTTGATTCCTTCCACTGTGTTCTTCAATTCAGAAATTGTCTTCTTCATTTCCTTTTGTCTTTTATTGATAGTTTCTATGTCCTTTTTCATGCTGATATAGTTTGCAGTAAGTTCCTTGTAGTTTCCCTGTAGTTTTTTATAATTATCTCTGAGCTCACTGAGCTCATTGAG